AGCCAGATTCTGGGAGCCAACCCTGATTTTGCCACCCTCTGGAACTGCCGACGAGAAGTGCTCCAGCAGCTGGAGACTCAGAAGTGCGTAGGGGTTCAGGGTCTTAGAAGACTGCCCTGGCCCTGCACTTGCACTGCCTGGGTCCAGGGGTGGAGGAGAAATGTGGCAGCCAGTGGCATAGATGGAGGACAGTAGGGCGCTGGGTGCAGAAAGTAAGGGGTGAGCTGAGGTTGAGTGTAGGAAAGCCCTGACCCTGCTTCCCCTCTGGGTGCAGGTCTCCTGAAGAATTGGCTGCTCTGGTGAAGGCAGAACTGGGCTTCCTGGAGAGCTGCCTGCGGGTGAACCCCAAGTCTTATGGCACCTGGCACCACCGAAGCTGGCTGCTAGGCCGCCTGCCTGAGCCCAACTGGGCCCGGGAGCTGGAGCTGTGTGCCCGCTTCCTGGAGGTCGATGAGCGGAACTGTATGTTCCTGCAGATTCTGTCCCCGCAGTCCTCACCTGCCCACATTCTGGTGCTGGGGCCTCATTAAGGCCCAGAATGGGGAGGGATATCCAGGATGGGTCCACTGAGCTGGTGCTGAAAGGGATGATGGAGCCAAATGCATCCTCCGTGGAGTGCACTGAGGTGTTTCTAGGGGTTCCAGCCAGGTAGCTCCTCTTGCCCTGCTTCTAATATATGCTGTCACTTCTCCCCTCCAGTTCACTGCTGGGACTATCGGCGTTTTGTGGCTTCACAGGCAGCAGTGCCCCCTGCAGAAGAGCTAGCCTTCACTGACAGCCTCATCACCCGGAACTTCTCCAACTACTCCTCCTGGCATTATCGCTCCTGCCTCTTGCCCCAGCTGCACCCCCAGCCAGATTCTGAACCACAGGGACGCCTCCCTGAGGATGTGCTGCTCAAAGGTAAGCAGGGTCAGGGGTGCTCGGGAGGACTCTGCAGTGCCACCCTTCCAGCCCCCATGCCTGACCCTGTTCCTGAACCTGTCGCTCGGATTTATTGAGCACCTACTTCATGCCTGGCTCCATGAGTGCCTAAGACTCAGTCCCTGGCTGCAGGGAGCTCAAGTGTCTGATGGGGAAAATAAAACTGACATACGCAGCCCCTGTGCAAGGACAGCATATAAGTGAGACTGGGGGCTGGAAGTACTCCAAGGAGAGGGTAGGGCCAGCAGCCAACCATTGGCCTGACCACAGCCCATGCCTCCCGGAACCCCACAGAGCTGGAGCTGGTGCAGAATGCCTTCTTCACTGACCCCAATGATCAGAGTGCCTGGTTCTATCACCGTTGGCTCCTAGGCCGAGGTAAGCAATGAGGAAAGGGGCTGGGTATTTAGGGCTTGGTAGGAATGGGAGAGGTTTTAAGATCTGATGCTGTGTTTCCCCGCAGCTGACCCCCAGGATGCACTGCGCTGCCTGCATGTGAGCCGGGACGAGGCCTGTCTGACTGTCTCCTTCTCTCGGCCCCTCCTCGTGAGTCCTGAAGCTTTTGCAAAGAGCACTGTGGGATTGTGGGCCTGTTGCTGTTGGGGCTGAAGTCTCTCTTTGTCCCTTGTACCAGGTAGGCTCCAGAACGGAGACCTTGCTGCTCATGGTTGATGAGTCTCCCCTGATTGTGGAGTGGAGGACCCCAGATGGCAGGAATCGGCCCAACCATGTCTGGGTATCCCAGGATTGGTGGGGCAGAAATGGGGGTCTGGGGCAGGGCTGGGTGGGAGAGTCAAAAAAGTGGTTATTAGGCCCAGGCATTTCCTTGACCTAGCACTCCCAGCTCTGTGACCTGCCTGCCGCCTCCCTCAACGACGAGTTGCCCCAACACACGTTTTGCGTCATTTGGACAGAAGGTGATGTCCAGAAAGAATGCGTGCTTTTAAAAGGTGATGGAACTTGCAGCCTTCACCCCTTGCAGCAACCCCCATCCCTTTCTTCCTCTCGTGGGTGCACCCCACAACCACCTACTCTTTCCCCAGGCCGCCAGGAGGGCTGGTGTCGGGACTCCACCACAGACGAGCAGCTATTCAGGTGGTGACAGGGAAGCACAAAACAAGGAGAGGGGCCCTGGGCTCTGGGCAGCAGGCAGCTAGGGCAGGAGCCAGAGCCTCGGGGAGATGTTTCAGGGTAGATTCTGGGGATTTGACCAGTACTGCAGGGCTGCCGGCCTCAACACCTCCCCACCCTGCCCACCCTCAGGTGTGAGCTGTCAGTGGAAAAGTCCACAGTGCTACAGTCTGAACTGGAATCCTGTAAGGAGCTGCAGGAGCTGGAGCCTGAGAATAAATGTGAGGCCCCATTCTGTGAGAGCCTGCTCCCAGAGCCCACTGAGGAAGCCCCTTTCCAGTGTGGCCCTGAGAGGAAAGCAGGAGGGCCTCAGGCGGATGGGAGCAGAGGAGGATCCAGGAGAAAGCTTCCTTTTCCCCGCCCTCTCCTCAGGGTGCCTGCTCACCATCATCCTGCTGATGCGGGCGCTGGACCCCCTGCTGTATGAGAAGGAAACCCTGCAGTACTTCCAGACCCTGAAGGCAAGTTGTGCCTGCATAACAGGCCAGGGGGAGGCCCAGCAGGCAGGAGGCAGGCAGCTGACATGCATACCCTGCCGGCCCTATCCACTCCAGGCCGTGGACCCCATGCGGGCGGCATATCTGGATGACCTGCGCAGCAAGTTCTTGCTGGAGAATAGTGTGCTCAAGATGGAGTATGCCGAGGTGCGCGTGCTGCACCTGGCTCACAAGGTATGGGCTGCCGCACGCGCCTTCCCCTGGCCCTCATCCTGCTGGCCTCCCCACGTCCCTGACGTTGCCCCAGTCTCAGATGCCTTGGTGGACTTCCTCCCAATCAAGATGGAGTTCATTCCTTCCTCCCAGCTTGCTTCTCTTCCAGCCTTGCTTTCTGTCACTCAGCCCATTTTTCTTTTTGTCACTCTTTCAAATTCTGAGTCACCAGGACCTCCTTGTGCTGCTTCTTCCCCAGTCTGCTCACAGCTTCATCTTCCTTCACAGTGACCCCTACCCCACCCCTCCTACACATTCCAGCACGTCTGACCTTGGAGCAACCCCCAACACCTGAAAGCCAAATAGTTTCCAGAGATTCCTGATAAGTTGTCCAGGCTCCACTTTTCCTAGTCCTTCCCAACACATCAGTTTCATCACGTCACTACAACGCACCTCCGTTCCTGCCAAAGTCATCTCCTGCCTCATCAGAATCCAGTCCCTGCGGTGTCTTTGTTTGCCCAGCACCCTCCACTGGCCCCTATACCTCCAAGCTCCAGGCCTCCTCCTCCTCGGCCGCTCCACTGGTCACTCCACTCGCAGCACTCACTGTCTGTCCCATGTCCATGACATGTAGCATGTACTACTGTGGGCTATAAGGTCAACTTCCCACCTGCTCCCATCCTTTCCTTGGCTGGGGTCCCCAAGGGCTTGTGGAGCACAGAGGGCATGTGCCTAATAAACACTGGCCGAGGACCCTCTCCCAGGTCTCCTAGGAAACCCATCACTTCCTTCCTCCCTTCACCCCCAGGATCTGACAGTGCTGTGCCATCTGGAGCAGCTGCTCTTGGTCACCCATCTTGACCTGTCACACAATCATCTCCGAACCCTGCCACCTGCCCTGGCTGCCCTGCGCTGCCTTGAGGTAAAGTACCCATGTCTCCATCGCTGTTGTGGGTGGCTCTTTTCCCCTTCTTCTACCTCAGAAGTCTGCCTATATTACAAAGAGATGTCCAGGACCTTCCGCCCCTAACAGGTGTCTGTGTGCCTTCTGCCTCCATCACCCAGCCTGACCCTGTGAGCCCCTCTGTGCACTGTGGGCCCATCAGCCTGAGCTCCTCAGTTGCCGAACCATCCCTGGCTGACAGTGCCTGCCCTGCCTTGTGTCTTCCTGCCCCCAGGTGCTGCAGGCCAGTGATAATGCCATAGAGTCCCTGGACGGCGTCACCAACCTACCCCGGCTACAGGAGCTGCTATTGTGCAACAACCGTATCCTTCCTTCTGGGTGCCTTTCAGACAGTGGGTAAGGTGAAGTGCCACCCTGGGAGGGACAGACAGCAGGCAGGGTACGTGCCACCCTCTGGCAGGTCAGGAGACAGGGACTCTGTAGTGTGAGTTGAAGGGGGAGAGCCTGGGGCTCTCGGGCTATCACTGACTTGCACTGGTGGAGTTTTGCAGAGTGTAAGTGACTTCCTCAAGTCAGAGTTCACAAATGGGCAGCCTGCAGATGTTCTTCAGGACCATGTAGTTTTTTAAAAATCAGGAAGTTTCATACTTAAAAAAAAAATCTAGAGTTCTGATTCCTCTCTTAAAAATTGGAAGATAGAGCAACCTTTCACTAGTATTTTCACGCAGCAGCCCTGGATCATTTCTGAATAGTAAATGTCTCTTTGGACCAGGCTAGATTTCCACCTTACCATCCCCTCCACCACTCCTCTCATACTATACTAGCCTGCGTGGGGTGTTGTGGCTCATTCTTTTCTGGCTAACCCTGTGCACAGGCATTTGCAGTCCCTGCCTAGAGCCTGACTCCCTCCAGGGAGCATATGAGATGCCCATCAAACATACTTCCAGGCAGCAGTCCCCAGCTCTTGAGGGCACACAGGAGCAGATGGATTGGGAGGAACCTGCCAAGCTTTCCTTGACTCTCCTGCACAAGGCCTCCAGCAGCCTGCAGCACTCCAGCCTCTTGCCTCCTGCCCCAGGCTGGTCCTCCTCAACCTGCAGGGTAACCCGCTGTGCCAAGCAGTGGGCATCTTGGAGCACCTGGCTGAACTGCTGCCTTCAGTGAGCACCATCCTCACCTAAGAGGTCCTGCCCCCTCCCCTTGCCCTCTAACTTATTGGGACTGAATAAAGAATGGAGAGGCCTCCTCAGGCTACCAAGCTATTATTGTGGCTACCACTTCACCATTGCCTTCATTGCTGCAGCCATTTATTTTGGCCTTGGTTGCCCCATATGAACCTGGGGCTCCACAGTGTGGGGTTTCTGCAGGTCAAAAATTTTGGGAAAAGAAAGGGAAGAGACGTGGGGAGACGTGGGGTGTTCCTGGCTCATTCTTTCTGCATCATCCTGCTGTTTCCTCTCAGGGACAGCCAAGACCTCAGTGTTTGGGTCAGAGTTCAGGGTGAGGGCTGAGCTTGAGTTTACCTTCTGGTTTGGGGTGGGAGCTGAGGCTGGGTCTAGATTCCAAGCAGGAATAGGGCTTGGGATCAGGTTCTGGTTCTGGCTGAGTTGCAGAGCAGCTGTGAGTTTCTCCAGCTGGAAGCATCATACAGGTTTTTCCCATGACCCCTGCACTTTTCAGATGTCCTGTCTGCCCTGGCCCCCATTCACCACAGCCAGGGAGGCTTAAGGGCTTCGTGTTCCCAGGAGTGGGCCAGGGTGCCCTTGCTCCGCCCTGCCTTAACAACAGTATCGGTCCCTGTGAGTAGCATTCTACGGTTGAAGTACTCATTAGCATACTTGATAACATTTGATCCTCACAGGCTTTCAGGGATGAAATGATTAGGCCCAGTGTACTGATGAGGAAACTGCTGTTGAGACTTGCCCAAGGTTGCTGAGCAAATCAGCACTGAAACCAAAGTTGTCACTACCCTTGGTCTAGGACTCTAGACTCACGTTCTTGCTTCTGTATTGCTAAGGAATGATTGGGCAGCAGCCTGGCCTTGGCTCCTTCAAGTCCTGAGCTGAGTGTCCACTCCTATGGTGTGCCCCCACACATACCATGTACACACCTTGTCCTGACCTAGAGAGGCCTGAGTGTTGGTGGGGGAAGGGGACTGGCTCAGGGGTTAAGGCACTAACTCAAATCTGGCTGGAGGGGGAGAGAAAGACTGATTAAAGCTAGAGAGAGTGTGACAAAGGCATCTTCCTGGTTGTCTGGGATCCACCTGGGCCCACATGTGCTCACACACATCCGGACAACCAGGGCCCTGCCCCTTCCCGTATCTGCATTGATGCACAAACACCCAGCCCCAGCACGAAGCCCTCTGGCTGACCTGCTTGGAAGTTTGATTTCCACTGGTGTGCCAACTGAGGGTGTTGGAGGTAGGGCAGACCTGTTCCCCTCCACCTCCCTCCAGGCAGGTTCTGGTGCTTGGAGCTGGACAAGAAAAGGCAGTGTGGGTGTGGAGGGCTCCCTGCCAGTTCCTGGGGCCTCTTTGTCCCCAGTCCCCATGGCACCTCCCTGCCTGATGCATCACCAAACAGCCCCTCCTGGATTCTGCTTCCTTGTGTCTTTTTATCAACCTATTTTCACTGTCTGCTTGGCGGCCCGTGGGCAGAGCTGGGATACCAATGGGAAGGAAGGAAAGAAGGAAGAAGCCCCTGGCTGATGGGCCCAAGAACAAGACCAAAGGAGAGCCTCCCTGAAGATGCATAGCCTCCTCCTCTGCCCTGGGATTGCCTCAGTGCCATCCTTGGTGTTTCCCCGGTTCCGGGGTGGAGTTAGGATGCACACAGGACAGGGGCCTGAGCCGGTTGGTCTGGATTCCCAGGAAGAATTCCAGGTTGGTAAAAGGAATCCTCAAGTCCAGCTGAGCAGAGACTCCTCGCAGTGAGAGAAGGGGGTAATCTGCACCCCTGGAAGGGGGACTCAGTTCCCACCCAAGCCTAAGTGGAAAGACCTAAGCCTTCCCCAAGCCCCAGGCTACAGCAGGGGTGGGGGCGTAAAGTGAGATTGCGCCTACTCTGATCCCCCTAATCCAAAACTTGGGGGGCAGCTCACTCATGCCTGGGGCTGTAAAGCAGCTGAGGAAGAAGGGACAGATTTGGGGGTTGGGGAAGTCAGAATATCTGGTAGAGCCAGCAGGTCAGGGGTTAGCTGGTGGAGCCAGTCTGAGGGCCTGGCTGCTGATGTCACCAGTCTGCAGCCTGGGATTCTGGGACCTCCCTGGGCAGGATGAGTTCCAGGACCAGGCCCCTGGGCCAGTTTCACAGGGCTGAGCCTGGACTGGGCTGTGCTGAGCTCGGCAGCAGGAGCCTGTGAGAGCCAAGGTAGGCAGCCTGTGCATGGGACCAGAAGGTCAGCCAGACAGGGCTGTGGGTGGAAGGGCCTGCCTGCCCCACTGTCCTTGCAGCTTCTTCATTCGGAAGAAGGTACTCCTCACATGCCCAGTCTGTTAGTTATCAGCCTGGTGCCAGGAGCCATCCACACCCTGGTGGATCACAATAAAGCCCAGCCTAAGCCAGACCTCACCCCTGTTCCCTCTCTAGCATCTTTTCCCTGTTCCCCGCCCAGAGGCCTGGCCTCTTCCTTCCACTCCCCACAGCAGTTTGGCCCCTCCCTCTCACATAAGTCACTTACCAGGCCTGTCCCGGCAGCATCCAGTCCGTGGGTCCCGTCCCATCCATCCTGACCTGTTCCATCTTGACCCCAGGACCCAGCGCTGCGATTGCCAACACTGCTGCCAGGTGAGGGGCTCCCATGGGCAGCAAGGTGCTGAACCCAGGTGGCCCACACTATCGGGGTTCATGCTGGGATCCAGCAAAGTGGGTTGTGGGCCAGCTGTGTACCTGTCAGCCCCAGCCAGGCTGTTCCCCAACACCAAGACTCTGCTTTCCCTGCACTGGGCACAGGCTCCAGGCACCTACCATGCCCTACCCCTCCTGGCAACCCCAAATGGAGTCTTCCCAGACTTGGGAATGCCAAGGACCCCAGGCCCCAGGGTCTCCTGAGGAGCCTTGAGTTGGGGGATTTCTGCTAAGAAATAAGTCCTAGAGGCTGTGAGCATTGTGCACCTCTACCTCTAAACTGTGGAGCCAGCAGGTGGAGGGACCAGGCCCAGGGATGCTGGAGCACTCTGATGTGTGTGCAGCTAGGTCTTGAGGCTGTGACAAGCGTCCATGCAGGGAACTGTGCATTTCCTGGGACAGATCCTTGAGTGGGTTTCTCCACTGGGGAGTTTTTTGGATGTGGTTTGGTGGGGTTGAGGGAAAGGCTGTTCTCTGCAATGTGAGAAGCTTCTCTGGGTGTCTGAATGGACTTCAGGGAAGGTCTCTGGATGTGTCTGGGGAATCTCTGGGCCATGGTGGGACTGTCTCAGTCATCGGGCTGGGACCGAATCAGCTGCCTGGATGGAGGGTTTCTGGGTCGGGCGGCTGGGGCTACCTGGGTTAAGAAGCCACCTCTGCCTCTTCCTAACAGGCATGATGGACGGACCACGTTCCGACGTGGGCCGTTGGGGTGGGAACCCCTGGCAGCCCCCTACCACGCCTTCACCAGAGCCAGAGCCAGAGAGACGCTCTCGCAGAGGAGGCCGTTCCTTCTGGGCTCGCTGCTGTGGCTGCTGTTCATGCCGAAATGCAGCAGATGACGACTGGGGACCTGAACCCTCTGACTCCAGGGACCGAGGGTCCAGCTCTGGAACCCGAAGGCCTGGCTCCCGGGGCTCAGTCTCCCACCGGCCTATCTCCTGGGGCAGTGGTGTCAATGCAGCTGGAGATGGCACCATCCGAGGTGAGAACAGTCTGTCCTCCTCGGCTGAGAGGTGAAAGGCTTTAATGGGACCAGAGACTCATTCTGGCATTTCTGGGGGATCGGAGACTAATGATGAGGGCCTGGGTTCCCATGGGGCTTCACTGACCCGAAGCTGTGCCCTTGCAGAGGGGATGCTAGTAGTGACCGGTGTGGACTTGATGAGCTCACGCTCAGACCAGAACCGCCGAGAGCACCACACAGACGAGTATGAGTATGACGAGCTGATAGTACGCCGCGGGCAGCCTTTCCACGTGCTCCTCGTCCTGTCCCGGACCTATGAATCCTCTGATCGCATCACCCTTGAGTTACTCATCGGTCAGTGGGGCCTGGAGTGGGAAGGCCCTATATTTGGTGGGGAGAGGCTGGCATTAGGGTCAGAGAGGTCTTTAGGCTCCTCCCTGCCCCACTCCTCACCTCTGCCAGATAAGGCAGGTGCAAATGTGTGGGTGTGCCCCTGGGGGCGTGTCTCAGAGAGGGTCTTGGTGTTTCCATGTTTTCCAAGCCCACCCTCCTCAAGCCTCCTGGAGCATCCATCTCAGAGTACTCCTCTTCAGGGCCTGCCTTGGTGCCTTCTTTGGCATTGCTGCGCTGTCCTTCCAGCGTCTGTTCTCTTTCCCCAGGATGTGGCTGGTTCTCTCTTCTCTCTCTCTCTCTCCCTCTCTCCTTTGACGCCCCCCATCTCTGCCAATTTTCTGTCTCTGTCTCTGTCCCTCTGTCCCCATGATCCAGGGCAGGTGCCTCCCTCACCTCGTTGCTTGGTGGAGCTTGACTTCTCAGGCTGGTGATTATGCTCCTGCCTGGGGCGGGCGACTCCTTTTACCCTTTGATTAGGGCTTAACCTTGCCCACCTCAGCCTCTAATTTCCCAGGTACCCCTACCATCTCCACCAGGGATGCCCTGGGCTCTGGAAACTGCAGCCCCAGGGAATAGGCAGGGTTGGCCTTCAGGATCTGGACTGCCCTTTCTTTTTTTTCTTTTTTTTTTTTTGAGACCAAGTCTTGCTCTGTCACTCAAGCTGGAGTCCAGTGGTACAATCTCAGCTCACTGCAACCTCCACCTCCTGGATTGAAGTGATTCTCCTGCCTCAGCTTTCCAAGTAGCTGGAACTACAGGCGCATGCCACCACACCTGGCTAATTTTTTGTATTTTTAGTAGAGATGGGGTTTCACCATGTTAGCCAGGATGGTCTTGATCTCCTGACCTCATGATCTGCCCACCTTGGCCTCCCAAAGTGCTGGGATTACAGGCATGAGCCACTGCACCCAGCCTGGACTGCCCTTTCATACGGACAGGTGAATCTGCACCTGGCCAGGATGGCTCTGCCCCTCCAGCCCAGGCACTGCAACAGTCAGGCAGGCAGAAGGTGACAAGAGCCCTGGTCTCTCCTCCCCACCTCAGAGTTCAGTGTCAGGGGAACAGGTTTGGGATGTTGGACTAGGGCCCTGCCCTAACATGTGGGCAAACATCGGGTGGGGACAGGGCTGCTCTGAGGGAGATTGTGAGAGAATAAGGCGATGGCCCAATGCAGGGACATACACAGTGGCTCATACACATTTTGGGTGGGGCCGGAAGAAGTCCCAGGCTCTATCCCTTCTCCTTAGGGAGGAGTCACCAGCTAATTGCCAATTCCCTACTCTAGGAAACAACCCCGAGGTGGGCAAGGGCACACACGTGATCATCCCAGTGGGTAAGGGGGGCAGTGGCGGCTGGAAGGCCCAGGTGGTGAAGACCAATGGACAGAATTTGAACCTGCGGGTCCACACCTCTCCAAATGCCATCATCGGCAAGTTTCAGTTCACAGTCCGCACACAGTCAGACGCTGGGGAGTTCCAGTTGCCCTTTGACCCCCGCAACGAGATCTACATCCTCTTCAACCCCTGGTGCCCAGGTGAGCAGCTGGGGTCTGGAGCAGAGGGTAGGTGGGAGGGAAGGATAGGGCAGGGCTTCCTGCCCTCCAATGCAGCAGGGTGCCTAGGTGCCTGACCCCAGGAGAAGCCAGCCTCCCATCGTGCAGATGGGAGGACCAAGGCCTGGTGCAGAAAGGTGGCCAGCCCAGGGTCACACAGCCAACCATACCGCTCCTGGCCAAGGCCCCGGCTACGGCCAATCTCCTCCACCATCTGTCATGCTCCCCCTGTCCTCACGCTGCAGTCCTGTCAGGCTAGGGGCATCCCCACCTTTTCTTCTGTGGACACAAGTCCTGCAGAACTGGCCAAGGAGTAGGTGAGGCCCAGGGAGAGAACTGGAGGGAACCAGTTTTGTGTGTTCTGGGGACACAGAGGACATTGTGTACGTGGACCATGAGGATTGGCGGCAGGAGTATGTGCTTAATGAATCTGGGAGAATTTACTACGGGACCGAAGCACAGATTGGCGAGCGGACCTGGAACTATGGCCAGGTATGGTGTAGCTGGCCAGGGTCATATGCAACCAGGGGAGCTGGGGTGGATGTGGGGGCTGGGGTATTGGAGCAGGGTGCTGGCCTAGGGTTCAGGCTATCACCTCTGCCCTCTGTCCCTCCTACCAGTTTGACCACGGGGTGCTGGATGCCTGCTTGTACATCCTGGACCGGCGGGGGATGCCATATGGAGGCCGTGGAGACCCAGTCAGTGTCTCCCGGGTCATCTCTGCCATGGTGAGCACCCTCACGTCTCTGAGCCCTACTGTGTGTCTGCCTGCTCCCTCACCGCACCCCCACCCTCATCCTGCCCTTTCTGGATTCCTCTAGGACCCCCAGCCCTTCCCCTGCCCTTGCAAAAGATACGTCAGGAAGGGGTCTCGCCTCTTCTCTCCTTTGACTGCCCCCTACCTTGCCTTTCCTGGCTCCTGTCCCAGCTTCTGTGGAATGTAGGGCCAAACCCAAAACTTGGCACACCCAGGATTCACATTCCTGTGTCAGAGCCTGGGTGGGAGGGAGGGGGCAGATGGCTCAGGGAAGGGCTGGGTGGCGCTCAGACTGATGTCTGGATTATGAGGCATTTAGGGGCAAGGGGTGGTTGCAGGGTCGGGGCTGGGCCAGGGACCACATGGCAAGTCCTGAGCCCCTCCTCCACCTCAGCCCTGTTTCATCCTGTCCTGGGCAGGTGAACTCCCTGGATGACAATGGAGTCCTGATTGGGAACTGGTCTGGTGATTACTCCCGAGGCACCAACCCATCAGCGTGGGTGGGCAGCGTGGAGATCCTGCTTAGCTACCTACGCACCGGCTATTCCGTCCCCTATGGCCAGTGCTGGGTCTTTGCTGGCGTGACCACTACAGGTAGTAGAGGGACTGGGACAGGAGTGGCCTGGGCCCGACAGGGAGAAGGGAGGAAAGCCAGGCTCCACCGTCACCCAGCCCTGCCCAGCTGTGGCTACAGTGCAGGATGAGGCGGGTGGATGATAGGCTGGCCTTAATTATCATTAATTACTGTTAACAACAGAGAGAGGCCTAAGGAAAAGGAGGGAGAAGGGACAGGCAGGGACTGAGCCAAGCAGGTGGCCTAGCTTCCCCTGACCCTAAGTGCTTTGTGGCCCAAAGGCATTCTGACCCTAGGGACCCTGGCCCTGGCAGTCCATGCCCAGCGTGGCAATCCTAGTTTCCCTTCTCCCCCTGATATTCCTGACACAATACATCACTTGCCCTCAACCCATGCCTTGAACCCCAACCTTGGCTTCTCCACAGTGCTGCGCTGCCTGGGTCTGGCCACCCGTACTGTCACCAACTTCAACTCTGCCCATGACACAGACACATCGCTTACCATGGACATCTACTTCGATGAGAATATGAAGCCCCTGGAGCACCTGAACCATGATTCTGTCTGGTGAGCTAGGATGGACTGCCCATCTCTGCTGAAGAATGATGACCTGAACCTTGGAGGTGGAGGGTGGGCAGGGCCGGGGTGCTGGGGAAACCCTGGACTCCTGACCCTGGGGCTCAGGGTCTCCCTCCACGTCCATCCAGGAACTTCCATGTATGGAATGACTGCTGGATGAAGAGGCCCGATCTGCCCTCGGGCTTTGACGGGTGGCAGGTGGTGGATGCCACGCCCCAGGAGACTAGCAGTGGTGAGGCAGCCCCCGCCCCCCAACTCCCCACCGTGCCCCTGCTTATCTTCCTCTCCTGAGTAACATAGTCCAGAGTGTCAGTGCTGGGCTGGGAGAGAGTCAAGCCCCATAACCCCATGGCTTTTTAAACGGGTTTATCAGCTGAACCACCAGGTGGCCATTAGTTTTTACCTTTCTATATAACTCTCTATTTGCCTAAATTTTACTTATTTATAATGGTTTATTTTATTAATCATGGTTAATATAGAAGGGAGTTTCAAGATTCAAAAGATGTAAGAGTATTCAGTGAAAGAGAATTCATATTCACTATTCTTACTTGCTTTTTAACTTACATATCCTGGAGATAATTAATTGAAGGACCCTTTAAAGTTATTTTTATAAGTAATACATGTTTGGAAGGAAAGTAGTATAGAATTGAATAACACGAAATGTAAAGGTTCCCTGTTCTCTCTCAGGAGGTATTTGGGGTTTTTTTTTCAAAAATATTTTTTAAGCACATTTCTAGGTTCTACCCCAAACCTGACACATTAGACTTTCCAAGGATAGATGCTAATAATGTATATTTTTTAAAGTTCTTCTGGTGATTCTGAAGATCAACCAGATTTGGGACCCACTCCAAAGGATGGCCAAAGAGGTGGAGTGATCTCCTCTGGGGCACAGGGTGGTAGGTCAGCAACAGAGCAAGTCCAGTCTAGCATATACTCTTGCTTTCACCAAGTTCCTTCCTGTCTGTTCCATTGCTCACTGGGAGTTATATATATAGTATCAAAAAAAATCAGGGCTTAGATAGGTTCAAAGAAGAAAATAGCTCTTATGACCCAGCCTTAATATATAATCACTGTTGATATAACCCACAGATCTCTTTTCTGTGTCCACATACACGTTTCTGCAGAAATTAGAACTACTGTACACTCTGTTCTCAAACAACCCCCCACCCCTTCCTACTGTGATACTCCAGCCCCAGGCCACCAGGCCTGCCCTGCCAGCTGCCTTCTGTCCAGCCTCTCCCTTACTCACCCCAGGTCAGAGAGCCCTCTCCAGCCTACATTACTCCCCTGGCGTCTTCCCAGCACGCTGCCTCTCACTCATCTATATCAACGCTGCCCCCTGAGCTGTGCAACCCAGTGACGTCTGTGATGCTGAAACGGCCTGGCCCAGACACTGGATCTGAGCTCTGGCCCCCAGCTCTGGGAGGTGACATGGTGGACATCAGTCAGGGAGCTCAGGGACAGCCAGACGGGGGCTTGATCCCAGCCTGATCACTTCTCAAATGTGTGCTCTTGGGCTAGGACCTCACACTTTTAGGCTTTGGTGGTTTGGATGCAATTTGGGGACAGTATATACCATATAGAGTGATTGGGAGGATTAAATGAGAACTCCTGTATATGAAGGGACCAGCAGCATGCCAGGAGCTTATTAGCTACTCAAAAAGTCTTAGCTCCTTTCATTCTCCCTGCACCGCCTGTCTTGTGGGATCCAGGCATGCACTTCGGCTTGCAGTTTCCCTGTCTTTAAAGGAGTGTGTAGTGTTAGGTGTTGTCTAAGATTCTTTCCTGTTGGATGGTACTAACTCTGCCCTCCCCTGCCAGGCCTCCTCCTGTCAGCCTGTCTCTTCTAGGCAGCCTCCTGAGTATGATAAAGGCAGACTCTTATTTCCCACCAGCTCCCCCAAGTAGAGAGGGCAGCAGGCTGCAGAGTTGTGGGTTGTTCCGAGTCTCTCTGGAGTGGTGGTGGCAGTGGCGTCCTTGCGCTCCCAGCCAGCAGGCAGGGCCACTGTGGACTCTGGGTTGGTTATGATAAAGGATGGGGGGTCCTGTCCTCCGGGGATCACAGATAGTGGACATCCAGTGTCGGCCAGCCATGAAAGAGCGTACCCAGGACTTGGTTATCAGGCAGGCTAGTTCGCACATCTGTACCCACCCTTGTCCTCCAGCAGAGCAGCCTGGGCTGAGGAAAGTGGACTGAGAGCCAAATGGAGCTCTCTCTTTGTTTTCCATCCCTGTGTTGGACTGGCTGTCAACTGACTTCCAAGTGTTTGGGTGAAGGCCGATGGCCTTGTTCCAGAGGCCACCAGGCAGTGGGACCAGGCCTGGGGCCCTGTATGGACCTCACCCACAGTCCAAAGGTCCCTCCCGGCCTTCTCAGATCCCTCGCCTGTGTCCTCACTCCCTAGGCATCTTCTGCTGTGGCCCCTGCTCCGTGGAGTCCATCAAGAATGGCCTGGTCTACATGAAGTATGATACACCTTTCATTTTTGCTGAGGTGAGGGCTGGGCTCCAGGTACTTTCTTGGGCTTCAGTCCGGGGTTCTCTGGTCCCAGCTTCACCGCTGACTGACCAGCTGTGCAATCCTGGGCAAGTCACTCATTATACAAGTCAGTTTCCTCACCTGTAAAAGGGGATAATCAAGGCTGCCTTGCTTCCTGTACTCAGGATCAAAAGAGATAATGGGTATGAAACTGCTTCACTAGTCATAAAGTCAGCCAATGAGCATGAGGGATGACTGTTATTATTACCAAAGTGCACTGCAAGGAGCCTCCCAGACCAGCTTCTTCCCTGCACTCTGGCCTTGTCTGGCTCATCTTGGAAAGTTTCCCCTTGGCTCTGCCCGGAAGCTCCCACCCTTGGGACCATGCCCTGTCCCCCAGCTCTAGGGATCAGGGGAAGGAGGCCAGGAGTCAGGCATCCTCAGACTCTCTGGCTCACTCATTCCTGCTCACTCCCACCCCCACCCCCACCACAGGTGAATAGTGACAAGGTGTACTGGCAGCGGCAGGATGATGGCAGCTTCAAGATTGTGTATGTTGAGGAGAAGGCCATCGGCACACTCATTGTCACCAAGGCCGTTGGCTCCAACATGCGGGAGGACATCACCTACCTCTATAAGCATCCAGAAGGTACTATTCCCCCAACCCAGCCAGCCCTGGGCCCCATGACAAATGTTCCTGCTGAGTGCTCGCCCACCCAAGTGGGAATTGGAACCTCACCCTTGACCCTCAACCCCCAGGCTCAGATGCGGAGCGGAAGGCAGTAGAGACAGCAGCAGCCCACGGCAGCAAACCCAACGTGTACGCCAACCGGGGCTCAGCTGAGGATGTGGCCATGCAGGTGGAGGCACAGGACGCAGTGATGGGGCAGGATCTGAACGTCTCTGTGATGCTGACCAATCAAAGCAGCAGTCCCCGCACAGTGAAACTGCACCTCTATCTCTCAGTCACCTACTATACTGGTGTCACTGGGACTATCTTCAAGGAGACAAAGAAGGAAGTGGCGCTGGCACCGGGGGCCTGTAAGTGCTCCTTACCCAACCCTACCCCCTGGATGGCTGGGCACCTCAGGGCTGTGGAAATGGAGACCCCAGGAGCAGTGGGGAGTCCCTGCGGGAGGCCGTGTATAGGAAAACAGGCCTCAGTAACACCATGCCTCTTCTCCTCAGCGGACCGTGTGACCATGCCCGTGGCCTACAAGGAATACCGGCCCCACCTTGTGGACCAGGGGGCCATGCTGCTCAACGTCTCAGGCCATGTCAAGGAGAGCGGGCAGGTGCTGGCCAAGCAGCACACCTTCCGTCTGCGCACCCCAGATCTCTCCCTCACGGTGAATGCGTGTTGCCGGGGCATGAGGGGTGGTCAAGGAGTGAAGGCCAGGGGATAAGGACATCAGAGGAGGGCGCTAAGCCAGGAGCAAGCTGGCCTGATGAGCCTTTGTAGGAGAAGATCAAGGACTGGCTCTGGGGCCTCAGTTTCCTCATCTGTAGCATGGGATCTTATGTCTCTGGTTCTGTGACAGCCTTTGTTGGGGAGTAGCTTGAAGTTTCTTCTCTGACTTTGAGGAGCCTTCTGTCAGGAGGATAAATGTGGGGTTCAGGAGGAGGTTTTGCTTCTAAGCAGCTTCTCCTCTAGTGCAGTGTACGGTCCCCATGTGTTTGGCCAGGGTCTCTGATGTGGGGGATGGGCCTCTTTTTCTCTCAGTTACTGGGAGCAGCAGTGGTTGGCCAGGAGTGTGAAGTACAGATTGTCTTCAAGAACCCCCTGCCCGTCACCCTCACCAATGTCGTCTTCCGGCTTGAGGGCTCCGGGTTACAGAGACCCAAGATCCTCAACGTTGGGTGAGTCTGGCCTCTCCCCTGCCCCTGCTGCCACTCTGGCCTTCCCTGCAGGCTGCGCTGGCTCCCAGCTTTGCTTCCTCTCTGTCTGGATAAGTACGTTCTGTCAGGGCCCAACCAAGCAATACCTCCTGACCCAGCTCAGTCCCACCAGCCTTTAGGGAGACCTCCTAGGAACCTGGTGCTGTCCTCTGTCCCTGGCCTGCCTCACTATCTAATTAGGGAGCTAAAGCCCCACATAGGAATGGTTAGCAACTCATTGCTAATGTATTTGCCCAACGCTGAACTGACCAGGCACTTTCAGGAATATTATCTGCTTTGGACAAAAAACTCTTTAAAGCACATTAAAAGGTCAGATGCGGTGACTCACACCTGTAATCCCAGAACTTTGGGAGGCCGAGGCAGGTAGATCACTTGAGGTCAGGTGTTCGAGACCAGCCTGGCCAACAAGGTGAAACCCCGTCTCTACTAAAATACAAAAATTAACCAGGTATGATGGCAGGAGCCTGTAATCCCAGCTACTCGGGAGGCTAGGGCAGGAGAATCGCTTGGACTCAGGAGGTGGAGGTTGCAGTGAACTGAGATTGTGCCACTGCACTCCAGCCTAGGCAACAGAACCAGACTCCATCTTGAAAAAAAAAAAGTACATTAAAGGTCATCATAGGATTAAAAGCAAAGTTTTGGGCCAGGCGTGCTGTTTCACGCCTGTAATCCCAGCACTTTGGCAGGCTGAGGTGAGTGGATCACTTGAGCCCAGGAGTTGAAGACCAGCCTGGGCAACATGGTGAAACCCTGTCTCTGTAAATAATTTTAAAAAAATTAACCGTGGGCAGTGGCTCACGCCTGTAATCCCAGCACTTTGGGAGGGCAAGGTGGGTAGATCACGAGGTCAAGAGATCGAGACCATGGTGAAACCCTGTCTCTACTAAAAATACAAAAATTAGCTGGGCGTGGTAGCGTGCACCTGTAGTCCCAGCTACTCGGGAGGCTGAGGCGGGAGAATTGCTTGAACACGCCAGGTGGAGGTTGCAGTGAGCCGAGATCGCACCACTGCACTCCAGCCTGGCACCTGGCAACAAAGCAAGACTGTCACAAAAACAAACGTACAAATTAACCAGGTATGGTAGTGTGTGCCTGTTGTCCCAGCTACTTGGAAGGCTGAAGTGGGAGGATCACCTGAGCCCGGGGAGGTTGAGGCTGCAGTGAGCTATGTTTGTGCCACTGTACTCCAGCTTGGGAGACAAAGTGAGACTCCATCTCTCTCTCTCTCTCTCACAGACACACACACACACCCACATACACACGGCAACAAAGTGAGACACCCTCTCTCTCTCTGTCTCACACACACAAACACACACACACACAAAGTTTTGGAACCCTAAAGATGTGGGTTCAGGTCCCAGCTCTGTCACTTACTGGCTATATGCCTTTAGGCAAGCAGCTTATCTCCTTCAAGCCTTAGTGTTCTCATCTATAAAGCAGGGATAGGAATAACCTCTGGACCTAGGGTCTTGTTGGCACAAAGTTAGTGCTCCATTGGTAGTTGTTATTTTTATTATTGCCATTATCACCCCCACTCACAGATGGGAAAGCTGGCGGCCATATCACACACGGTCTCACAGTTTGTAGGGAAACTCTGTTCTTCCCACTGTGGTGTACACCACACAGGCTCTGAAGCTCGTTGCTTGTTTTGTGCCATGAGGGCCAAGTAGCAGTTCCAGAGGAGAGAACCCCATCCCTCAGGCTCTTACCCAACCTATCTGGGCCTGATCCCCGGCTGGGCAAGCCCCTGGGTGCAATGAGGACACACACATGCTGTGTTCCTGGGCCTGTTGCTGTCATCTCTGGTTCAGACTCACACATGGTCCCCTGTCCCTCCCTAAGAAAAGCACAGAGGGAAAGCAGAGCAGGCCAGAGCCTGGCCTTCTAGATCAGCGTTCTGGGACATGGGCAGGCTTCGTCTTCAGATAGAGGACTCCTGAGAAAGAGCAATGGCTTGGGGTGGGAAACTGAGGAGAGGAAGCAGAGGACCCCCTGTACATTCTGCCCACCCCTCCCTCACACATAGCAGCTCTCCTGGTGGTGGCCACCACCTTCGCCATTAGGCCAAAGCTGAGAAGGCAGCTATGTTGATCTTTGCCCCAGCCTGGGCCCTTGGAAATACTATGATGTGTCACAAAGGAGGGCTTTCCTCATGTCACCCTACCAGGGTCTCTGGCAGCTCAGTCAGGGGAGCCTCTGACCCCCCCGGATAGCCTGCTCTGCTAGTCTTGCCCAGCAGACATCTCTTACCCACACCCCCACCATGGTGGGGAGAGGTTCCTGGTCCTAAGGGATCCCCAGAGCTGGACTTGCCTCAGCAGCCCCATCAGGCCTTTGCCTCTTGCCCCTGCCTGGAAGTAAGGAAAGGGCCGCTGTGTTGAGTGTTGGGGGACCTGTCCCATCTTTAGCTATAGGGCTTATATGAGTCTCCCTACAGTAGAAGACAGGGTTGGATGATGGTTTCTCAAGGCAGGTCCTCCCTGGACAGTCTGTGGCTCCATAGCTGCTATGAGCCCAGATCAGAGCCTCTAGAACAACTGGGAGCCTCCAGGGGGACATCTCTGAGCTGCTGGTTCAGATACATAAGATTCCAAGATGGGTGTACTTCGCCTCTCATTTGCACATCAAAGGCTGTGGCATGGAACCCCATTATAGCATAAGGTGTGCCACCCCAGCGTGGTGACTGGCCACTTAATAAACATTCTAGAACTCACTCCTCCAGATGGCTGTTGTCACCACCAAAAGCAGTCGCCAGGGAGGCTAGAAGTCTGTTCCAAACCCTTCCTGGGAATTTCCCTCAGGGCCTGAATCATATCCTCTAGAATGTCATCAGAGTGGTCAGTCTGCCTTCTTAGGGGTAGATTTGACTTTGGGGAGAAATCTGAAGTCATTTAGAGCTAAGACGAATTAATAAGACAAGCGAACAGGTGGGTAACTGCCCTTTTCCATCAGAACCGAGGCACACTGAAGGAAGGACAGGCTAACTGTTGCATCACTGAGCACACGTGTGTGTGTGTGTGTGTGTGTGTGTGTGTGTGTGTGTGTGTGTGTGTGTGTGTGTGAATGGCCCTGAGGAAGAGTCCAGGAGGAGTTTTTTTTTTAATGTTTCAAGCCCAGGGAATATGATTGAAGAAGTACACAATTGGACAATGCTCATTTCAATGTTTAAGTTCTGGTGTCCTTGTTGGGGAGTTGGTTTCATGACCAACTTAGTTCCAGGAACATCCCACTTTTAGTAGATAGCTTGTACTCAGCTTCAACTCACTAAAGAGGTGTGGTAAAGTCCCCATCTCACAAGGTGCAGGGAGAGATCTTGACATTTCCATCTAGAAAACAGTTTCTCTTGGAAATAGTTATTGCAATGTAAAGGTTACTTTCTGAAATATTACAGTTCAATTATGATATAGATTAAATAGACTTCTGAGGGCTGGTCTGAGCTTGAACAACCTTGAATCTTTTATTTATGAAAAAGTGAGCAAAAATTAAGAATGCAGATTTGTAAGCAGTCAGGGCATAGCCTATCCATTAAGTTACAGACTTACTTTATAGACTTCCTATCATACTACATTCTATTATATATCCCTACTTCCCTCCTTCATGGAGCTCAGAAGTACCTTCAAGACAATCAGATCCCACTCTTCCTTTTACTTTCACTTCCATTTTATGACCCAGAAAGTGAGGATCAGAGAAGTTAAGTAGCTTCTCCTAAACCTCACAGCTAACAAGTGGTAGAAGAGGGAATAAAGTGGTTCAGGGAAACTGCTCAGAACCAGGCTCCAGGCCAAATGCTTTGCCCTGAAAAGAATTCATCCTTGGAGTTAGGGATGTTAGCTCATTCTCTTAGAGGACAATAGTGACTGTACAAGTTCTATGTCTGGAGAGGGTCCACAAGGGCAGGCTTGGGTTAATAGGGGGCCAGAGGTAAGGTTTAGGCAAAGGCAGGAAGGACAGATTCCCACAGGCATAAGCAAATGCAATAAATGCAGTCATGTTCAATGCATAAAGTGAAATGTGCAGGTTGCTGGAGGAGCTCAGAGAAGGGTGAGATTCCTTTTCCTAGAGGCAGGAGGTGCTCAGGGGAGCCCTCACTGAGGAAGTGGTGTGTCAGTCCTTAGAGGAAAAGTAGGCCTTCACAAGGCCACCCAGGGTGGGGAAGCAGAGCTGGATGCTCATTCAATACAAGACAAAGACTGCAAAGCATGACTGTGGAGGTGAGTCTGGTTTGTCTGGGGAAGAAGGCATTCGGTAGGGCTGCTCAGCAGGAGGAATGGTGGGGGATGATGAGGCTGTGCTCATAGCAGCAGCTGAGTCACAGTGAGCCTGTGTGTCAGGTTAGAGAGCCGGGATCTCATGCCACAAGCACCAAAGGAGCCAAGCCCTTGAAGGATTTAGTTCACCTCTGAGTGGTTAGCAGAACAGAATACAATAGTAGGATGGGAGCGAGGAGTCCCATTAGAGGACTAGTGAAATTATGATTCCCAGGGAAGGTCTGGGAATCAATTTTTCAGAGGCCCATGTGGAAAGGAGAAAATGAAATAGAGTGAAAGAGTGTGTGTGTGTGTGGTGTGGTTTATGCACCTGCCTGTCACACACACATACAGACACAAGGGTTTATGTCCATTTAAAGATGTCTGTTGTTTGTTGTTAGGAAGGGTTTTTCTTTGGAATGATGATCATAGCAGAGAATAATTACTTTTCTTCAACCTATGCTCTTGTCAAAGCTGAAAGTATTTGGAAATATTGTGTTGGGCTCCCAAAGTCTCATTTTGAAGTCTTCTTGGTTTTGGAAACACCAGGTGAGATGAAGATGTTCTGTTTAGAGCAGGAGCAGTAGTGATGGAGGGGATGGCATGAGAGGCCTCTGGGGTGGCGTCAGCAGTCTTTGTCCATGTGGATGTGGGGGCAGGGAGGGAGGAGTCCCAGATGATGGGGAAGAGTTCCAGCCCAGGCAGCTGGTGGGTGGCTGCTGATCTGGCTATGCAGAGGTAGCCCTGGGGCTCCTGGTCTTGGGTGTGGAAATTCCAGGTGAGCCTGGGAATGTCTGAATGGTTCCACCTCCTGCTTCTTCCTCCTAACTGCCCTGGATCAGTTCTTACTCCCCACTCCACCCCCAATTACTCCAGGCCCATGACCTTGTCTCTCCCCACAGGGACATCGGGGGCAATGAGACAGTGACACTGCGCCAGACATTTGTGCCTGTGCGGCCAGGCCCCCGCCAGCTCATTGCCAGCTTGGACAGCCCGCAGCTCTCCCAGGTGCACGGTGTTATCCAGGTAGATGTGGCCCCAGCCTCTGGGGACAGAGGCCTCTTCTCAGATGCTGGAGGTGACAGTCACTTGGGAGAGACCATCCCTATGGCATCTCGAGGTGGAGCTTAGCCCTGTGCCAGGAGCAATGGGACTGGAGTCAGATGAGCAAGGACACTGGGCCCCAAGATGGGGGCCCACTGCAGAGCAGCTCACCAGAGCTCAGGTGGGGAGTCCAGGGCTCCTGGAGAGGGAGTCCGTCTTCACTTGCACTGGGGGCACAGATGCTAATAAACTATTTTTTAATGAAGCTGCTGTTCTGTCCATCTTTCAGTCCATGCCACACCAAGACAGATGAAGCCATGGTCTGCCCCAGGGCAGCACATGGCCTTTCTATATCATCTACTGATAGGGGCTGGTGTCCCTCACCAGAGAGGGGGACCATGAAGGAAGTTGAGGCTCAGAGAAACAGAGTTGGTACTCTTAGTATAACTCTCTTCTACCTGGAAATTTTCCTGTGGATGTGTTTTGGAGGATTTTGGCTTTGGTTTGAATGAAACTGTTCCCTTACCTCAGGGTTCTTCAAGTGTAGTCTCTAGACCTCTTCTATTACAATCATCTGAATGTGTATTAATAATCCAGATATATGGGCCCTGGCACAGACTGTGTATCAGAATCCCTGTAGCAGAAGCCCAGAACAAACTCACCAAGAGTTTGACTCCTGTGCACACTAAAGATCAAGAACAACACACTTTCATTTTTCTTCTCAGCTGTTCTTTCTTTCTGCATTCCCACTGCCTACATTCTTCCTGGGCCAGCAGTAGCCAAGAGATCGTGCACCTGATATTCTGGTCCTGAATTCACATGTCTTCTTGAACCTTTGAGTTTAGAAGGCTTTCAAGACAAAGGGCTCATGGGGCAGGAAAAAGAGAACTAAAATTGAGCTGTAAACACACGAACAAGGTGCACACCTTAAGGCATCTGTAGTTTAACACGCACAAGGAAGAAACAAGCCCTTCCCGTAAGGTGCTCCTGCCCAGTGGGGGTGACAGATGTGTAAACGTTCTAAATACAGTAAATGCATATGTCACACTTACCAGGAGCCAGGTTGCAAGCACTTTATGAATTCATTGAATCCTTACAACAACCTTATGAGATAGGGTCTGCATGGTAGTAGAGGAATGTTCAGGATGCTGAGAGGCCCAGAGAACGGCGACTCTGCCTGGACTGATGCAGAAAGGCTTCATGAAGGTGATTACCAGATGACTCATGAAATATGAGAAAAAGTCAAGTCCAAGAGGCAGAGGACAGAGGAATCAGCCAACATGTGTGAAGTACAGAAATACGAGATGACACAGTATATTTGGAAAATGCAGACAGCTGGATGAGGACTGGCATATGGGTGCATGATGAGTACAAAGTGGCAAGGGATGTGCTTGAAGAAGTAAGCTTGGGCCAGGTCATTAAAAATCCTTTTGCCATATTTAGGAGTTTGGACTTTCTTTTTTTTTTTGAGACGGAGTTTCGCTCTTTTTACCCAGGCTGGAGTGCAATGGCGCGATCTCGGCTCACCGCAACCTCCGCCTCCTGGGTTCAGGCAATTCTCCTGCCTCAGCCTCCTGAGTAGCTGGGGTTACAGGCATGTGCCACCATGCCCAGCTGATTTTTTGTATTTTTAGTAGAGACGGGGTTTCACCATGTTGACCAGGATGGTCTCGATCTCTTGACCTTGTGATCCACCCACCTCGGCCTCCCAAAGTGCTGGTATTACAGGCTTGAGCCACCGCGACCGGCCTGGACTTTCTTCTGAAAGTAAGGGGGAGCTTTCAATTAGGGTTGATATGATCAGTTTTGCATTTCACAAGATTCATGATGAAAGCAACATAGAAAAGAAATTAGAGGGGTTGGGCTGGAGGTAGGAGGACTAGAGTCCTCTCAGGATGAGAGACAGGAGAACCTGAAATAGGATAGAGACAGTATGAATGAAAAAAAAGGGGATGGGTTTGAAGGTTGTAGAACTAATTAGACTTGGTAACAGATTCAATTTGGAGAGGAGGGAGGACAAAGAGAAGGGTGGTGGTCTGGGTTTCTGACTCATGGGTGCCATGCACAGAAATACGAAGCCCAGGAGGAAGACCATATTATAAAAGGGAAGATAATAAGCTCTGGTCTTTAGTCTGGCCCCTAACAAGCTTGGGAGTCCTTACTCCTGCCCTCGTAAGAAACAAGCTGAACAAACTGAAAGTCAATAACTCTTGTTAGATCTATCAGAGAATTGAGGGCACACAGAAAACTGCTGCCCCTAAAACTGGAGAGACAAAAAGGCAGATACAGAGAATCACGACTTCATAGCAGAAGCCCAGAAACAGAAACTTCTGGGAAACCAGTACCAGGGTAGGAAAACTCAAAGTGTAATTGACTTACAGCTGGAGGTTTAGGGTGGATAAATTTGAAGGCTAAAAAATCTATAGTGGCCAGGCATGGTGGCTCAGACCTGTAATCCCAGCACTTTGTGAAGCTGAGGCAGGCAGATCACTTGAGCTCAAGAGTTCAAGACCAGCTTGGGCAACATGGCAAAACTCCCATCTCTACAAAAAAGACAAAAAGTAGCTGGGTTTGGTGGCACATGCCTGTAATCCAGCTACTTGGGAGGCTGAGGTGGATCACCTGAGCCTGGGGAAGTTAAGGCTGCAGTGAGCCAAGATCATGACACTGCACTCCAGCCTGGGTGACAGAGTGAGACGGTCTTAAAAAATATATATATATATATAATAGAGGTCCCATTCTTAGGTGGGCACCCCACACTTTTTTTGTTTTTGTTTTTTTTCGTTTCTTATTTTTGTTTTGCCCAGGCTAGAATGCAGTGGCACAATCACAGCTCACTACAGCTTCCAATTCCTGGGCTCAAGCAATCTTCCTGCCTCAGCCCAAGTAGCTAGGACTACAGGTGTGTACCACCATGCCTGGCAAATTTTTAAATTTTTTTGTAGAGACAAGGCCTCGCTATGTTGCCCAGGTTGGTCTTAAACTCCTAGCCTCATGCAATCCTAGGTGTGAGCCATGGCACGTGGCCATAAGTTTTACCAGGATCCCACAGTGAAAACTGGAGCCTCTCCTGTGAGTCTGGCAGAGGGGAGGAGGAAAGTAGCCATTTTGAAATACATCCATTGCATTCTGTTCTTGCTCTGTCACCCAGGCTGGATTACAGCTCACTACAACCTCGACCTCCTGGGCTCAGGCAATCCTCCCACCTCAGCCTCCTGAGTAACTGGGGCTACAGGTGTATGCATCCAAGCCTGGTTGGTTTTTAGAATTATTTTGTAGAGACGGGGCTCTCGCCATTTTGCCCAGGTTGGTCTCAAACTCCTGGGCTCAAGCAATCCACCTGCCTTGGACTCCCAAATTGCTGGGATTATGGGAGTGAGCCACACCTGGCCCTGTATTCCATCCTTAATAATGCCTGCCCTCGGGCCGGGCGCGGTGGCTCAAGCCTGTAATCCCAGCACTTTGGGAGGCCGAGGCGGGTGGATCACGAGGTCAAGAGATCGAGACCATCCTGGTCAACATGGTGAAACCCCGTCTCTACTAAAAATACAAAAAATTAGCTGGGCATGGTGGCGCATGCCTGTAGTCCCAGCTACTCAGGAGGCTGAGGCAGGAGAATTGCTTGAACCCAGGAGGCGGAGGTTGCGGTGAGCCGAAATCGCGCCATTGCACTCCAGCCTGGGTAACAAGAGCGAAACTCCGTCTCCCAAAAAAAAAAAAAAAAAAAAATAATGCCTGCCCTCAAGAGAAACTAACTATTCATTAAGAGAGCCTGCCTGATCTGGAAAAGGGACATGTCCAGCTCCAGCCAGGATAGCACATTTCCAGCATTTTACATGGGGGAAGAGAAATACCCAACGCTTGTTTTCCCTGCATGTGACGAGACAAAGGAGGAAGGGAGCAGGGTCTAGTAGCACTTAGGAAAGTCACAGCTTCCAGCACAGGCTTACTGAAAGACGGAGACGTAATTACAGGACTACAGAACGCTTTCCCTCGCCCCTGACACCTTAGGACTAATAGAGTTCTCATATAATAACAGGGAATACAACTGAAATAACTGCACATCTTAGACCTTATTTAAGAAGTCTCTAGGGAACACCAAAGATGACAGGGGAGACAGTAACAAGGACACCAGAGAAAATTTTAGCTGATACCTACAACTACATCAAGCAATAAACACAGCCTAACCCCTAGCCAGATAAACCTCACACGAAAGGTTTATTTGCCTGTTTCTTTTATCCATACATAACAACAACAAAAATCACGTGGCACACTAAAAGACAAAAATACACAGTTTGAAGAAAGAGAAAGCTTCAGAACCAAATTCTGATATGGCAGCTAGAATTATCAGAACAGGAATGTAAAACAACTATGGCCAATATGCTAAGAGCTGTAAAGGAAAAAGGGGACAACATGAAAGATAATGGTAAGCATTATGTTTCGTGGATAATGTAAGCAGAGAGAGGAAAATTCTAATGAAAAAACAGAAATGCAGAAGTAAAAAACACTGGGCCAGGTGCGGTAGCTCATGCCTGTAATTGCAGCACTTTGGGAGGCCGAGGCAGGTGGATCGCTTGAGGCCAGGAGTTCAAGAGCAGCCTGGGCAACATGGCAAAACCCTGTCGCTACTAAAACAAAAATTAGCCAGGCGTGGTGGCGCACGATTTGTAGTCCCAGCTACTTGGGAGGCTGAGGCACCAAAATCGCTTGAACTTGGGAGGTGCAGGTTGCAGTGAGCTGATATTGAGCCACTGCACTCCAGCCTGAGCAACAGAGTGAGACACTGTCTCAAAAAAAAAAAAAAAAAAAAAAGGTACTGTAACAGAAATGAAGAATGCCTGTAATGGGCTCATCAATAGACTGGACATGGCCAAAGAACATGGTGCGCTTGAAGGAGTATCAGCAGGAATTTCCAAAGCTGGGGCTTCCGGCCTCATAGGAAAAAAATTTCCAAAGCTGAAATGCAAAGAGGAAAAAAAAAATGAAAAAGAACAGAATATCCGACAATTATAGTAGCATACATATAATCAGAATGGAAGAGAAAATAAAGGAACAGAAGAAATGAGGTGATAATGACTGAGAATTTTCTCAAATTAATGATAGACACCAAATACAGATCCAGGAAGCTCAGAGAATACCAAGCAGGATAAATACCAAAAACAAAAAATAAAGATAGACCGGCCTGGGCAACACA